CAGCATAATATCAAGCCGAGGCCACACTGCTCTGTTATTATAAAATGTCCATTGTTGGAGCCACACTTCCTCTTTCTCTTTTATTTGCCACACTTCCTCTTTGTCTTTTATTTGCTGGCACTGTACAGGAGTTCCTGTGCTGTAAGTGGTATCAATACCCACTAAATGTCAATTCTCACTGTGTTTTGGGGCCAAAGAAAGCAACCACACCACATAAGCTGCTTCTCAGCCATTTAATGCTGAAAGTGCTGATCTTTTCAGTCTAGTTGTAAACTTCCACAGGGGAGTTTTTGATCTTCTCTCATTAATTTGGAAGCTGTCCAGGAGGAATTTTTTCCATTACCGAGTTTTGCCTGATGTTTGCTTTACTTTCTTTTTCACTATTCAAGCTCTTGCATAACAAAGTCTAAGCATCCATCTGTTTTTAAAAAAATGTGATAAAAATCAATAGTGGAGGGTGCTCTTATAGAAGTAGGTTTTAGGTGATGAGCGGCAGGTAACCTGTGGATAGCACTTGGTCTAAGGGCACAAGAACTGCCCTGAGCCAAGTCATGGGTGCAAATGCTTTTGAAGAAGGGAAGCCACATACAACTCTAACATCCATACAGAGCAGAGAGACTTGGCATCCCTTACAGACTTGTCAAACCATGGAGTGAGCTGGAGGGAGTGCTCAGCAAATGAATTTGGGGATGCCTTTGAGATTCTGCTAATGATCTATTCTTCACATACTCCTCAAAGCCCCCCATACTGTAGCCCTGCCCAGATGCTTCTGGGACTTAAGCAGAACTGCACTGCATGTCAGGGTGCTGAGCTCCTGGAGCAAGGTAAGAATTATTTTGTAGTGATTGGGAAGGCGCTGTCACAGAGGTTGCTTTGCAAAGCTCAAGGGAAAGAAGCAGAGGCTGAGTTAATCCAGCTGCACAGGCTGCATTTAATGATGCACAACCTCTTTTCCATGCTCCTGTAACCACATCTGTTCCATCCTTCCACAGCGCAGTCAGCATCTGGAACCTGTCCTCAAAAGCAAAGCTACTCCCTCAAACTTGTGAGTTTTGATCTGTTTGGGTAAGGAATAGTGAATAGAGTACTGTGTCCTGACCTGTTTGGCTGAGGGTATCTGAGAAATTGGGAGAGAGTGGTCAGAGAGGCCCCTGCTAAATTAGAAGATGGATCTAACCTCCTGAGGGTGTTGTGCTGGGATTTCAGTTGGCTTTTCTGCTAAAGAAAAGAAGAAAATGGATATGAGGATTAAAAAAACCCCTGAAGCCTTAATAACAGAAGGCTGCTGCTTTGATTGACCAGGCTCAGGAACCTGCAGAACTGAGCTTGGTGGTGTGAGGTGGAGATCTTGATTAGGGAATGTCAGACTGTCTTAGTTTGGAAAGACAGGTGCCTGCTAAGGAAAGCAGGAGCCTACCCTGAAATGGAAAATGTAAACCCCCTCCCTCCAAATTGCTATAAATTTTAAATTAAGGGGCTCTCAGGCAAAAAATATGGGAGCAGGAATAACAGTTCTTTACTAGAGAAGAAAATAAAAGGATAAAATAAACAATGCAGAACACTAGAACAACACTGACAGAGTCAGAACCCAACCTGACACCCTGTGGGTCAGGGTGTTGGCAGCAGTCCCATTGGAATTGTGGCTCAGCCCTCCTGCAGTGTCAAGGGTGGTTCTGCTGGAGCAGGGGGATCTGTAGAGAAGGATGTGTTCTTCCTCTGAAGATCCAGTGGAAGAAGAGAGAGCTGCTGTTCCCCTGGGGAATCCAGTGGAGAAGCCGTGCTGGTGTCTCAAAAACCTCTGGATTATATCTGGGTAGCAATGCTTGGCTCCTCCCTCTGGGCTCACATCTCCCAGTGGGATGCTGCAGCTCTTATCAGCCATGCAGTGACATTCAGTAGCTGTTATCAGCAGGTGTCTCCCCGGAGGGAGGAGTGGCTGGGGAAGAGATAAGAACACTGCCCACTTAACAGAAGATAGCTGCCATACAGATGGCAAATAGAATACAATTTGCTTGACAATCCAGGACACAGACCAGGGGAAACTGCAGAGGTTGGAATTTGGTGGTGAGCTGGGTTTGTGTGAGAGCCACCATGGAGACCCTATGTAAAGCCAGAGCACACTTTGAAATCAAATAGGAATTATAGTTGGAGTTCCAAGCCAGCTTTCCAGGTACTTGTCAATATCTTGGGCTCTCCAGAAATGTGTTATTTCCAGTAACATCTGTTATGTCGTGGAAATTCAGTAGATTGATTTTCAGTAGCTCACGAATCAGAGCTGAAAGACTGTTTTCTTGTCTACTGTGGCTCTTGGGGGTTGCTGGTTTGTAGGAGGGCCAGTGCTGACTGATGGCTCTGTGGGGCTCTTGTATGCACTTGGATAATCCCTCTGCCTTTTGTCAGAGGAGATATGTAAGAGGGTGGAGAAGGAATACAGTGTGGATGAGAAAAATCTGCTAAGTGCCACAAAACTAGAACCAGTTGGTGGGAAACTGTCATCACTTCTGTAGGCAACTCTCCCAACTTCTCTGTGTTTCTTTTGGCTGCTTGGTGGTCTGCTGAGCACTGTGGAGTGTGATATGGCACATGAGAGCATTTTGGCTCTGGGGTTTGATGACCCACATGGGCTCACAGGCAAGATGCAGAGTGAAAACCCTCTGGGACATACCTGTGCTGTCTGCAGCTGCTGTTCCTCCAGCTTTGATACCAGTTTTGTATCAAACCAGGTAGAATATAACTTTCTGCCCTGCAGGATAGCAGCTGTCCTGAGTTAGTGTTGAGTAGACACGTGTGTTGTGTGTAGGCAAACACAGACATTCTGAGTGGGGACTGTGTGCAGTTGAGGTAACTTGATGACAGCAATACCTCAAATGTTACTAATACAGACTTTCCTGTCTCACTTTCTGACTGCTAGAATAAATGTTACAGCCCTCTGTAGAGACTTGTGTGTTTGTAGAAATGCCCTCATCCCTGCTGTGGCTAAGAAGGTCACCTCTGGCTCCTGCTAACACAACAGCTGTGGGACCACAGCTCTCTCCATGCTGTGCCTGGGCTGCACTGCCTGGCTCTTGTTAACCCTCAGACAGCTGTAAATGGGCTGCTGGAAAGGCCCAGCCTGAGATGGCCCCTCTCCTAGTCTGTGCTGATACTCAGAGTTGATGTGTTTGTTAGGGGCAGCATTAAATAGGGAACCAAGACACCTGAGCTCTGCTCTCAGCTCTGTTAGTTGATCTTTGCTTTCTTTAAAATGAGTAGTTAAGGTCTTATAGCAATCTACCCAAGCTTTCCTTTCCAGCAGGATGTGTGTGGCTGAAGTAACACTCCTCCCTGTTCTCTTTAGGATGCCAAAGATGGGAGGATCTACAATGAACAGAATTTCTTCCAGCGAGCTGCAAAGGCAGGCACAGGTTGGTGCTTTTTGTGAGGGCAAGGACTAAGGATAACTGGCATTTCCCTCTCATCAGTTATGTGAATCTCTTGGAAGGCCAGAGCAGGATAAAATAATCCCCTGCTTGGTTAGTGCCAGAGTGCTGAGGAGTTTGGTCAATGCCAGTTCTGCAGCAGTCTGTGTGCTGTAGGACAGTGCAGTATCAGCACAGCTTTCTTGTGCTCCTCACTCTGTCTTGATGTGTCTGGGAGCTGCCCAGCCCTGCAGCCTGTCTCACCTTGGCTCACCCTCCTGTCCCTCTTCCATGGGTGGTTCTGTCAGCAGCTCTCTGGTATCAACTCCATTCATCCCAAAACTTGAGCAAGAACAAAGCTGTCCAGAGAATGTAGGCAAGGGGGATGGAAGATTTTATGTCAAATCTACACTTCTGGCAGAAGTGTAAAAATCTGCTTGTCCCTCATCCTCTCTCCCTCTCCCCTCTCCTTGTTTTCCCCAGCCCTGTAGCAATCCCATGCCACAGCCTGCTCTGGTATTCCCAGAATCTTCCCTGCTCCATTCTTGCACACATGAGACTGGAATTCTGGGGACAGAGTCAGGATGAGAGGCCACTGTCAGCTCTCCAGGGCAGAGCAGACCTTCAGAGGAGGAGCATCACTAACTCCTTCCTCCTGGAGCTCCTCAGCAGCATCTGCTGCACTGTCCTCTTCTCTTGTAGTGGAGAAGTGGAAGAAGTGGCATTCCGTGCCTCTGCTGGGCATCCCCAACTGTGTTGGCTTTGGACTGCATGCAGACAGCTACAGGTGAGGTGACTGAGCTCTTGGGCTGTCTGAGCATCTCTGGCTTTCCCTCTCCTGTGCTTGCTCTCCACTAATCCTTTTGTCATTGCCCCTTGGGCTCCTGACTTTGTGCACTGCTCCTATCATGTCTTAAACGGTTTGCCTCTCATTGCTTTGTTTCCTTCAGTCCTTGTGTTGCTGGTGAAGTTACTGCTTTTGCTGCTGCTGCCCTTCAGAGCAGAGGACACCTTATTTTGGTCCTTGACACTTAAACAAAAGGGAGATTCAGGCTGTGTGTCTGCAACACACGATGAGCACACCTGTCTCCTTTATAAAAGTTTTCTCTTATCAAAAGTCAAGGAAGTGTTTGCCCAGGTCAGCTTGGAGTTGAAGTGGGGTCCAGTGGATCACTTGGCAAGTGTTTGTTGCAGGGCCTCCAAACCAGGTAGGTACTGCAACGTGCAAAGCCCTTTTCTCCTGCAGGTTTTTGGTGTTCTCAGATTTGGGGCGATCTCTTCAGTCAGTCCTGAGCGATGGCCTGCACCTGCTGAGGGAGAAGGCAGCTTTTCAGATTGCAGTTCGTGTGGTATGTGGAGAACCAATCCTTCCCAAGGAACTTTTTCAGAAAGGACTTCTAACTTCCTTCTGGATCTTCCAGAGGTGTTTTAAAGCTGGTCCAGGGGCTTGGGTGAGATCTCTAAACCTGCTGTAAACTTCAGTAGCATCTTTTGAGCACAGTGTCACCTTGAAGGAATTTGGGATAAGAAGAATGAGAAAAACCTGACCTTTGAACTTGGAGGCTGTGAGATGTGGTGTTTTTAGTGCTCATCCACATGGCCACAGGGAGCTGGGGAAGGTCTAGCTCAGTGACAGCCAGGGTGCTGCAGGAGCCTGCATGGATCTGATATGCTCCCCCTGTTTATTCTCAGCTAGACTGCCTGGAGTACATTCATGAGAATGAGTATGTGCATGGGGACATCACTGCTGAGAACATCTATCTGAACCCAGCAGACCTCACACAGGTAGGGAGCAGAAGCAGTGCTGCCAGGAGAGGGCACTGGAGGCACTTGGGATAAGGCAGCCTCCAGGTCCCTGCCTTGGGCAGGGCAGGCTGGGCAGTGCTCAGGCAGGAGCTGTGGGGCAGCCTGGGGGCTGCTCTGCACTCAGGTGGGTGCTCTGTGCTGCTGCAGGTGACCCTGGCTGGCTACGGCTTCGCCTTCCGCTACTGCCCCGGGGGGAAGCACGTGGCTCTGCGCGAGGGCAGCAGGACCCCTCACGAGGGCACGCTGGAGTTCATCAGCCTGGACAGCCACAAGGGCACAGGTGGGCCTGGGTTTGGGACACGTGCTGGCACTGCTGCTTTCCAGGCATTCACATGCACCAGGAGCTGGGTTCCTCTTTGGGCTGTTCACTCCTGCCTCCTGATGGCTGCTGTGTTGGGACGTGCCAGGTCATGCAGTGATTGCAGCAGGGATGTTCCTGCTCCATCTGGAGCCTTGGCTGCTGCAGGCGTGTGGGGAATAGAGAACAGGGCCCTTTGTTCTGGCTTAGCAGGGATCTTTTTCAAGCCAGACAGGATCCCTGCCCAAAACAGATTTGCAGCAGGCTGTGCTCTGACCTTGAAGCAATGAGAGCTGGAAAGGCATTTACATCATAGAATCACTTTTGTTGGAAGCTACGTTTAAGATCATTGAGTCCAGCTGTAAACCCAGCACCACCAAGGTCACCACTAACACAAGTTTCCAATTGCCACATATACATGACTTCTAAATCCCTCCAGGGATGGAGACTCCACACTATCATTCTGTCCTTCTCCTGGTTGGGATGTGACTGCTCTTTCACAGTGTTCAGGAAGTCTTCCTCCAGATGCTGGGAGGTGATTCCTGAACTATGTTAGCGGGCTCCCAGGAGTACTGATACCCCAGAGCAAATCCTCATGAAACTCCTGAATTTCTTTACTTCTGCCCCTTCAGGAGTGATGTGTGAATGTCTCATGTTTCCCATCAGGACCATCTCGACGGAGTGACTTGGAATCTCTGGGCTACTGTCTTCTGAAATGGCTCTGTGGCACTTTGCCTTGGTCTGATGAGCTGGACAAAGTAAAAGCTGTGATGGAACAAAAAGAAAGGTAGGAGAAATCATCTATTCTTCTGGGAAATGCTCAGCAGAAAGCAGTGAGGGGGGTTTGTGACTGAAATCCCCAGGTCACAGTACACTGTTGGGATGTGGCAAATCCCACAGCCAAGGCTGAGCCTGGCCCCAGGGTGTTTGGTGAACCCCAGATTCTGCTTCATCCAGAACATGGCCAGCTGAATTCAGCCTTTTGGGATTTTTTTTGTCAAAGCCAGGTGCCTACTCCATTGCCTCTGCTTCTGACAGGTACAGAAAGGATGTGAGATGCCTTCTCCAGCTGTGCTTCAGGCAGAGATCCATTCCAGGTATGGGCTTGCTCTCAGTGGCAATGGGACTCAGGAATGAAGAACTGACTGTACCTGAAGGCAGAACTTTCTCTGTGCTGGGATGCTGGTTCAGAATGGCTTCCAGTGGTGATGGTGACCAAGCATTTCATAAACTGTCTGGCAGGCTGGGAGCAAATCCCTTGTTTTCTCTACAGAAGAATGAGGGCTGCTTTCCATGACCTGTTTTAATGAACCTTGCTGAAGGGAGAGCTGTGCTGGTGGGCTTAGAAATTAAATACCTGGGGCTAGAGGACACTTCCCCATCCCATTTTGTTGGCCAGAGAAGCTGTGGCTGTCCCATGCCTGGAAAGTTCAAGAGGGAGAAGAAGATGGACTTCATAGTCCCTTCCAACCCAAACCAGTTGGTGATTCTATTTTATGGTATAATTTGGTGATTCTTTGAGCTTTGCATTAGCCTTGGCTTGGTTTTCCTCTCTGCAGCTTCCTGGGGGGGTGGGTGAGCTGGCTGCAGGACAAGCAGCCTGGAATGGCCATTTGGCAGCTGGGGTTTCTGGCTGCTCCCACCAAGCCTTTCCTTGCAGATGCCCTGCAGAACTACCTGGAGCAGGTGCTGGCCCTGCAGTACGAGGACAGGCCTGACTACGCGGCCTTGCGGCAGCTCCTGAGGCAGCCACTGGAAAAGATGAGAGCTTCGGCTTATGACTGTGTGGATGTGCCAGTGGTGCCCTGAGGTGAGTGCTGGCACCTCCTGGTGTGCCAGGTGAGGGCAGAGCAGGCTGGGCTGTGACATCTCTGCAGCTGAAACCAAGCTGCTCCTCCTGACAGGGCATTCCCCATTGATACCGAGCCAGTGCTGCACAAAGCCAGGCTTAGCCTGCGTTTCCTCACGTTTTTCTGGAAACACTTGCCCAGGAAGGAATACAACAAGGGTTAATAAAGCAAATGCTGAAGGAGCTGCAGGGCTGTGGAGGTGATAAGAAAATGCAGACTCAGGCCATCTGGCAATTTTTTGTATATATCTGAAGCTCTGGGCTGTAGTTTTTGCTTTTCTCTCTCAGAAAGCAGCTTGTAGCTCTGGTTTTAGTGCCCACCTGCTATTTTAGCCATGAGGCACCTCATAGAGTGAGGCTTGATACAGAGCCAGATCTGATTTTAGTGCAAGGCTGCACCAGCCAAGGCTCTGCATCCAGCAGCAGGAGCACAGAGTCAGCTCTTCACCTAATTTCCTCCTCCTGGGAAGGAATTTAAACTGATTCATCTTCCCCTTTTCTGCTTTTATTTTTTTCAGATCAAGGAAGAGTTCAGAGCTTTTTGCAGTGAGGCCTTTCCCAAATATATTTTCACTTTTACCAGTTTTTAGAATGAGAGGTTTTTGTGTTTTCTTCTCCTGTTATTGTGACCCAGTGCTGAAGTTTGAGCTGCTGCTGTACCAAATTAATGTGAAGAGACTCCTGCGTGGCAGATCAGGGGAAGCAGCAGCTGGAGAACTGCAGTGAAGCCACCATGAGCCAGGAAACTAAATCAGGGATTTTCTCTTTTGAATGAGAGTGGCAGTACATGGTTTTGTAATAAACTTTGAGGACAACTACCCAAGGCTGCTCTTGTTTATTTGGAAGATTCAAGGCCTCTCTGGAGCTGCTGTTGGGTTGTGAGGGTGATTTGAGCCCTGTGCTCCTTGTGAGATTTATGTAAATAGCCTTCAGGCAGTGCCACTGCAACCTGACCATCAGGATTCAGCTCAGAGCTAAACCCTGACCTCATCTCAGCAGTTCTGCAGGCCTCAGGCCAGGGAATGAGGGGAAGGAAGACCAGGATCCATCTCTACTAACAAAACAATTTTATAAAAAAACAGTCAATAAACACTCACTACACTGTGTGTAGCTGAACTGTTGCCAATGCCACAGTAAATTGGCAGTCCTGGAGTCCAGTTCCAGTGTTAGCTTCAGTGACATCTTTTTGAAGTCTTGTACCTTAGTATTCCAATTCCTATGTGTTAAGGCACAGAAGGATTTTTCAGGTGAAGAAAACATGGCAACAAGAGAAGAGGCAAATGGAGTTTAAACCATGTGAGAGGTAGGTGAGAGAGCAGCTCAGACCTGCAGTGAGCCTTCATTTACCTCTGGGGTTTTTCAATAAAAACCTTGTGTCAGTGCAGCAAATGCCATAGACAAGAAGAGGGGAGCTGAAGGAGACCTGGACAGAGTAAAAAAGGCAGCACAACCTCAAAATAGGTCTTTCAAGTGGAAGATTCAAGCATAGTGTTACATTCAGAAACTTGAGAACCAATGTCAATTCATTTCATTCATAGTGCCAGGCCTCAGAGAAAGCAAGGGACAGGACAGTTCTTTTCTATCGCTAAGAGGGATGATAAAACTGGGCTATGAATTTCACAGAGAGAGCAGAACCTTAGCAGAGGATCAGGCAATAGGGGATACATAAAAAGGCAGCTGTGAATGGAGGAAATAGCCCAGCTGTACAAGACAGACAAGGTTGAAGGGAAGTTATTTTGGAGGTATTTACAATTATTCACTATCATCCCTGTATGACTGCAACAGAAATACGGTTTCTAGAAATCCCGGTAAAGTTAAAAGCATGAAGAAATCAGAGGCTTAAGAAGGCCAAGTTCAGCCTTTCTTCAGTGTGTTCTGCCATGTTTTTTCTCTTGACTTGCCTCCTGTGCAGGTAATGGGGCTGGCACGGCTCCTTGTTGGTGGAGTTGCCGTGGGGCAGTGCTGAGGTAGGTTTGGGAGGGGCTCCAGGGCTGCCTTCAACAGAAGATGTAGGACTGGCAGTGTTGACAGAAGAGTAGCCCGAGCTCCCCTCTGGGTTGGGATTCCTTGGGGTCAGATATGCCCCTGGCAGCTCCCCTTGCCTGTGGGGTGCCCCAGAGCCATCCCATTCCCCAGGCAGGCTGTCCTCGTCACTGGAGTCCTGGCCACAGTGCTCTGCAGGGTCCAGGTACAGCACTGTCACATCCAGGATCCCACTGGGGCTGGTCACTGCAGGATGGGAAGAGAGAAACCTTAGTTTGTCCCCATCCAGAGCCAAGCAGGCACTCAGCACAGAGTCAAGCAGAAAAAAGCCAGGCAAGAGTCAGCCTTCTGTCTGCTTACACCTGGAGGGCAGGGCACCAAGCTCACCCTCTATTCACACAGCATCTTTTCTTCCCTCAGACTGTTTGAGCAGGTACTAAGAGCTGTTAGAAAATGAGCAGCCAGGCCCAGGGTCAGCAAAACCCAACAGCTAATTAGTGTTTCTAAGACAGTGGCTCATTCATCACTGCAAACAGCCTGACTCTGAAACTCTGAGCAAATACAAACCCCCTCATCATGTTCTGAAGCAGTGCAGACAAAGAACAGATAAGATACCTCTGAGAGAGTCTAACAAGTATAACCATGGGGGAAGAGTTTTTCCAGCTGGTCTTCAGCTGAAAGTTTAGGCATCTGGTGCCTGAGAAACAGTTTTAAGCGAAAATGAAAAGACAGGTTTAATCCTCTTGGCTGCTTTTTATAAGAATAAACTGCTCACCATCTCCTTCTCGCTCTCCTTCACTTTCCTGATCACCTTCATAACCAGAGCAGGAATCTAAACTCCAGTCAAGGAAGTTGTCCAGCAGGCTTTCTTCCTGGGAGGACAGCTCTGCTGTGGGTGTAGTCACAAAGCTGCCTCTGTCATCCTGAATGCTGTCTTCCCTCCTCCTGTAGCAAAACACCCCAGAAATCAGATGTCAAAATCCAAGTCTTTCCCAGCTCTTTTAATAGGTATGTCAAGATGGTGACAGGAAAATGGATTGTATTTAGGAATGAAACCTCTGGGTACCAGAGAGGAGGAAAGGCTCTGGCTGATCTTCAGAGCTGCTGACAGCCATGAGTTATACTCACCTTTTAGCTCTCTTTCCAGAGGGAGAGCTGAGGAAGGTCTGAATTTCCACTACATTCCTGTGCAAGGGACTGGGCTCTGGGTCCTTCTGTTTCACACCCAACAATGAGCAGAGTTGGCTGTAACTCATAACCTAAAATATTAAATAAATAAATAGATTTTAAAAAGTCAAAGCACCTATAAGAATTAGACCATGAGATTCTTACAAGAACTAAATAACCAGAGGGACACTATTTATTTTCTAGGAGAAATCTATCCCAGTGAATTCTTCCCACAGGCACTCAAACATCAGTTAAGAGTCCCTGCAACTCAATTTTAAATTCTCACTTTATTCACAGAGCCTGCCATGGGACAGCAGCTCTGCTCTGGGTGTCAGCCAGCAGCAGATGCAGCCACAGCTCACCCACCTGTTCTTTGCCAATTTCTTCATAGCGCTCATCTTCAAATCGCTGTTTGACTGCCATGAGGGACACCTGCCTGTAATCCTTTGGGACATCATCATGGAAGCTGGAAAGAAAGATTGAAACCCCTATCTTACAATGGATTTTGTGAAACAGTATTAAGAAAACCTGCCAAGTTAGATAATTTTCCTCTGTCACTCAGTGCTGTGCTAAGGGAGTTGGTGTTTCAGAAGCTTCATCAGGACACCTGGTGGCTTCTAAGCATGTGAGCATCTAATTCCTTTTCTGTCCCTGTTTTCTGTGACCCAGGGCCAGACCAGCTGGCAGAAACAGAACAGCTGTCCCTGAACTGAACCTTAGTGCCTTGTGACAGGGGAGCAAGGCAGCCAACCAAAGGCCCTTCCTTCACTGGGGAGGGCTGACTGTTACAGGTGCAGCACATTTGCCAGAGCTGCAATCCAAGTACTCCTGTGTCCCCTCAAAGAGTCCCAAAACAATTACCACTTTTGGTGGAGGCTCAGCACGCAGGGCAAGAGGTCTTCTTGAGAGAAACCAGTGCACTCAGACAGCTGGCTGGTCCAGGAGTGTGCTGGAGAAGAGAGTACATATTCAGATATTGAATTACATATTCATGAAGCGTAGTAGTTCTGTAGTGAGTCAGCTTATTTTCTTTAATAGGTTAAGGATCGTGATATTTGCAAGCTTAAATCTGTCCATAGTTTGTTCAAGCTCACAGCTGGCTTTAAGGACAGGTTTATCTGCCAAACTGATGTTAGACCTAACAGCAGAAATCTTCAGGCTCATTTAAAATCAAAGCCTGCATAGTCTGATGCTAATGCTCTAGTTCATCACTGCTAGAAAGAGGTAAAATAGACTCAGAGAATTCATGGAATGGTTTGGATTAGAAGGGACTTCAAAGCCCATCTCATTCCACTCCCTGCCATGGCAGGGACGCCTCCCACTATCCCAGCTTGCTCCAAACCTTGTCTGACCTGGCCCTGGACACTTCCAGGGATCCAGGGGCAGCCACAGCTGCTCTGGGCACCCTGTGCCAGGGCCTGACCACCCTCCCAGGGAACAATTCCTTCCCAATATCCCATCCATCCCTGCCCTCTGGCAGTGGGAAGCCACTTCCCCTTGTCCTGTCTCTCTAGGCCCTTGCAAATAGACTCTTGTCCATGTCTCCTGTCAGCTCCATTCAGGTACTGGAAGGCCACAATTAGGTCACCCTGAAGCTTTTCTTCTCCAGGCTGAACAATCCCAATTCTCCCAGCCTTTCCTCATAGCAGAGCTGTTCCAGCCCTCTAATCATCCGGGTTGCCCAATACAGCCAAACAGGCTGAACTCAGCTCTTCATTTTGACTTCTTACACCTGTCCCCTTCTTCTCCACCCCTCTGTCCACCTCCCCCAGCCAAGTGATTGGGACATCTTGCCTAAAGACAAACTAACACCCAAAAAATCTCCTTAGAAAGAGAAGGCAGACTGGCAGTGTGTGCTTGAGGTAAGATGGGTTACCTTGCCCGTGCAGGATCTTGGCCAGCAGCAGAGCAGCAGCAGCCAGCCGGGCTGGGGAGTACGCACTGAGGCTCGTGTTCAGGAGGGACAGCTCACAGATGAAGCTGTAAAGGTGAAGAGTTCTTCTCTCCAGTGAGACAATGCTTGACAGAACTTCTTTGTAGTCCAAAATGGTGGGCATCTAGTGCAGAAAGGAGAACAGAGGTTGGAAATACAAGACCAGCACAAAGTGTTTAGAACAGCTGCTTCCAGGTGCTGGATTTTGTTTGTTTGGGGCTTTTTTGTTTAACTACTACACTGACATTGATGCATTCTCCAGTGATAGAATAAATCGCCTCTTAAAACTGAAGTTTTAATCTCTACAGAAGGCATAGGGTTCTGTATCAGCATGCTCTGAGACATGCACAGGTTCCACAGTTGATGGAGAACTCTGACTTAAACCCCAACTCATGAGATAGGAACTGCTACAGCCTGACTTGAACAGCAACCCAAGGGCAGGGAAATATTCCATCCACTGTCCAAACTCACCCTTATCTTTCCTTCTAAGGCAGAAATGATCTCGCCCATCATTCTGACCAGCTCTTCATATTTGTAGGAGTTGTCTGTCAGCCACACAGCTTCCCGTATCGTCAGCATCTCTTTGCTGATGAAACTGCAATGTCAAATATTAAGTTAGCCCCAGCAGAAAGGGGATTTGTGCACTTACAGCAGATAACTGCACCCACAGTGACCAGAGTTAAACAACTTCACAGGGTACCTTCCCAGGTAGACCAGCAAAGAATTGCAGCTCTC